GATCCAAAATGCAATGCAAGCTTGACGCAAGGATCCCGTTTTACCCCCTTAGGGGTTAAATATTGCAAAATCCCGTCTTAGTGAGCACCTACGTTCTAAAATAAACCCCCTTGCAAGATTTCAGACTCCTGGACTTATAGTTTCTGAGATTTCGTGATGAGTGAGTGAGTGAGTGAGTCGGTGACCTTTCGCTTTTGAAATATAGAATTTGAACGTCTCTTTGAAAAAACCAATCAATCCCTTACCTAGATACCCCTCGCAATTAAACTCTATCAGTACCCGCAAAAGCCACGGGCTTAGTGGCGAAACAAACGGGCAAATTAGGCCTTGGCCCGACAGATCCTGATTGATGGATGAGGCCACGGTCTTATGCAATTAGCTTCTCAACGAAATCCGTCCGTGCGTTGACTCCGTCTGGCAGATGGGGGCAGATCGCTCAATGGGGTAAGTGTACCCCGTTGATACGAAATTATGAAGAATGCTTTACAAAGAACTTCCAATTACTAGGTGAACCACATGAGTTTAACTTACTAATGTACCAGATGACCTACTGTCTATTTTTATAACGTAACTTGGGGACGTAGTGATGGATGTCGATCACGACATCGGAATAAACAGACTGTCACATCATTATTGCGCTTATGTTGTGTCTGAAGTGCACAGAGAGTGTAGGTCTGTACGAAGTAACGTTTTAAAAATTGAGTTAATAAATCAAATCAAGTTCTTTAATGGCAGATGCTGATATCCAATGTCTTGAAACTACTTAGCCTAAACATAAGCGCGTGAATAGACGACTTTTCATTGATCGCTGAAAGCAAGTAATAATAATTCACAACTATGCAACAGTAGCCATTGAATAATAACTCGTAACATGACCCAGTACATGTATGATTAATCGTTGACCTGCATGGTGACTAAGCCAAGAAAGAAAATACTTTTAAACGAAGGAATTTGCGTTAAGTAAGGCGGCGTTTAATTTCATAACAAGGCGTTTGTTTCAAACAATCGCACGGTTCAACGTTCGCCGATAGCACTGACTCAACAACGCTATGACTGGACTAAAAATATCTACAGGATTTAGGTTAATGACCACCATTCAATGCGATCACCCCTTCATAAAGTATCTTTCGACGGAAACTTCGGTCGTTTATTAAGTATCTAAAAAGTAGAAAGTTTCCCTTTTTATTCGGCCCTTAAAAAGTTTAGAACATTCTGTTTTTTCCTGGAATTCCCATTTCCATTTCAATTTATTGTCCCAAGTCCGTCTTAACTGTGTCTGTTTTAACTATGTATTTATATTAATCAATTTATATTAACATAATACTTATTAGTATAACAGTTAGTCATAAGTATTGTAACTATTTTTAAACGAAAGACAGACCTAATTTACAGAAGATCACACGGCGGCGTCGCATCAAAAAGAATTATTTATATTGTTATTATCTCGAAAAATTGATACTTCATATTACAATAACAATATGGCTCACATAATCCCGGAAAATTCTATCAGAAAACGAATTAGTATTTTTCATCCTGAATATCCCATTTCGTTTATTGACGATGTTAAGGAAAAATATCCATTACAGAAGCAATTTACTTTTACTGCGTTCGACTTAACCCCCGCGAAGTAACGGTAACATAGCTTTGAAAACTGGAAACTCTTTCGAATTTACCTTTATAGAATCGCGAAAGTATCTTTGCAAAGTTGTTTTTACATTCGATGTGATATTTTTGCGGTTGGGATAGAAGCGGTTTTTGAATGTTTGGCGACAAAAATAAGTGAGTCTGAGAAGTATTATTGGAAATTCCTGAACGTACAAAGCTTCGACGAGAAAGGTAGACAATAGTGAAGGCCGTGATTGCAGGAACCAGGAAGGTTTTGGACGTGGGGACGTGAAAAGCTTTGGAACTAGGTGTCACATTTATAACTTTGAAATAGCGTCTGTTGTTGTAACAAGTTGTACTTTCATTCGTACATCTGTTGTGGCGAGTTTTCTTCAAATCTTTTTATATTTTATCCTCAGTTTGATTCTAGGAACAGTTTAGAAATTAATATACCTAGTTTATAAGCTATGTTATAAGTTTGTATGAATGAACAATTGCGTCAAATATTTCATAATAAGTACCTACTAAGCCATTAAAATCAAAGTAGGTATTTCATTAGTATGTCGTTCATAATTCATTTGTCATCCAATTTATTTAAATGACTTCGAGAATATTAGGTGTTAAGTAATTGAAATGCTTATGAGTCACTTAAGAATTATTTATTTTACTTCTGAACCTGGACTGTAAGGTAAATTTTTGCAGTACAAAGTACCATTCCTCTTAAAGCGACGAAAAACTACACCCTGTTTAATTTTCAGAAAAGTCTCCACAATTTACGAATCCAAAATTTCGCGCTAAATATTTTACACCGTTAATTAGTAATTTAAAATTCATAACCGGGCAGCATCTTTTAGCTCTTCACCCAGCAAGAACAAACTAGTAAAGTAGGAACATGCATAAAACAAAGTGTCAGTTATTACATTAATAACAAGGGTGGCAAACCCTACCCTTTTTGTTTATCCCTGGGGCTCTAGGCTTCCGGGTTGTTGTGATAAAAACACCGGTTTATACGTCATGCTTTTGACGAGGTTTTCCTGTTTCGAGATGAAAAGATATACGAGTAAAATGGCCAATTTGATAATATTTTTATTTTTCAGGATTAAGAGATAAAATTGCAATTCTTAATAAATTTGAACACTGAGTTGTGCCGCTCCATATTTTTTTGTTATTGCTACTTTTTTCCTAATAAAACTATTTAGTTACATAATTAATTAATTTTCATAAACAGTTTTTTTATATATGGGCATTTGCCCATATAAGTATAAAAAAACTGTTTATGAAAATTTATGAATGAAAAATGTAACATGCCTTAAGTATTTCAAAGTATTACTTACGTTCCATAGAATACCTAAACCGGGATATCGTAGGATGTCTTGGACACAATATAGATTTTAATTTAATTTATTTGTAATAGGAATAGGCAGGCCGACAGCACTTCCACCCCCATCACTTAGATGGTTGGCAGTCCACAACAGTACGTTTTTCTAGAAACTTCCTGCCCCGTACAACCAAACTGTGGAATGGACTGTCGTCTGCGGTGTTTCCGGACGGATACGACCTGCAAGCTTTCAAGAGGAGAGCGTATCTTTATCTTAAAGGCCGGCAACGCACCTGTAACGCCCCTGGGTCTGCGGCTGTCTATGGGCGACGGTAATCACTTACCATCAGGTGATCCGTCTGCTCGTTTGCCTCCTATCACATAAAAAAAAAAGGTATACAAACATTTTACAGTCTAGGCTTGATCGAAAAGAAGAAGAATGCTCTAAATTTTCAGATTCATAAAGGGCTCATCTCTCCCGACTGCCCATCCCTCCGCTATCTAAATTTCTAAGAATTGATCAGTTTATTCTTACCCTTATTGACACTAGGAAGCATCTGCTTTCACAAGTTCGTATTTGCACTGACCACAGTGGTTTCTGATTTATCGTGGGTTCCGCCGCAAAAACCACGGAACCACATCGTAAGCGTTTTGTACGAGCTCGTAGCCTACTTTTGTTTAATCTCGCTTTTTGTTACACTGATTTATGAGTTTTGGTTCTGTAGAACCATTGTTTACGATCGGCAAATAAAAGTTTTTCAATAGATGCTCTCAGTAGGTTCTCAGATTTAGTTGTTTTATGATTTTTACGGCAACTCTCTAATATTTTTGTAACTTTACCAAAGTTAAATGTAAGGGAACTTTTGAAAGAAATTGAATACTTTTTTCGGGCTGTGAAGTTACTAATATTACCTACTAGGAACGTAAGCAAATATAAAACAGCAGTCAACGCTACAAAATTTATTGAATTTACTATTAACATAATCTTTTGCCGTATATAATCTATCTACACACACTCACCAATCATATTTCTGCGAACAATAAAATAACTGTCGAAAGTTGACAATGTTAACCCGTTTAGGTTTAATAACCTCTTTCTAATCTTCACCTTTGACAGCTCCAATTTCAAGATAGCATCAGAAAGACAAATTACCCGATCGCTAGTCCATAACGGTTTCTCGGATAATACAACAGCGGGTTTCAACACACGACGTTGTTTTCAAAGACCGACAGGCGTGAAATTAACTTTCAGAGGAAATCTGTTCGGGACTTCCCCGGAAAAATGCACGGACGACAATAGTCAGATACGATTATTTTGTTCAGACGCGTCATGTGTTTGGTAGATGTTATTCCCCGGGATAAATTAATTTCATGTAATATTTGAGAAGCGTCATGTATGTTACCTATTTGGTATTGTATGGTTACCCTGCGAAAAATTAGTTTCATAATTTAATACGTTTTTTTATATGAATGAATGTAGAAAAGTGGAGAGGCGTGCTAATTTGGTACGTGTATAAGTTTTCTGAAAAAGGGCCTTTAGGTATACTAACAAACACTATGATTTTGTGGTGAAATTAGTGGAAGATTGTTGCAAAAGTTTTAAATTAAAAATTAATAACCAGCAAAATGATACAAATAAGATATTTAAACATCATTTTATTAAAAGTAGTATAAATTAAATAGACATAACAAGATTATTTTATCATTAACATTAAATCACATTAATTACATAAACTAGCATTTCTACGATTATCACAATAAATTGTCCTTATGCTACATTTTATTAAACAAAAATCAGACCTATTAAGAATTCAAGATTGCATACAAATAATATTTATAGAGAGATACTTAACAGACCAAAATATTACGACATTCTATGATTCATTATTTACTGTAATTAGGTAACTTATCATTTCGAAAAAATCCTATATATTTTATTACTAGATATAGTCACAATTACAAGTTAAACACGTCTTATTACCTTCTCGTTTTATACAATTATCTAAGTATGTTTTGCTACAAAACCTATGACATTTAAACTTTGGTCATAATTACTAAAAATATTATAAAAATAAACAATATTTGTTTTTGTTCAGGTAGGTTCTTAATTTTTTTTTTTGATATCATGAACCGTTCAAATGGTATCATTTTTATTAATGAAAGGCAATAAACATCAAGTAACAGGTACTTATTTTACGACTAATCACTTTAAAAATTAGTTCTTATAAATATGTTACTTAAGCTCCTTTATTTACTTATGTTTTTCTAATTTGTAGGTAAATGAATATGAAATTGAAATATAAGTATGCATTGTTACTATGTTAGGTAGGTACTTTTAAGACTTTAGTACACTTTCTTAAACGGGGGCACAAAGTTACAAAACCTTTTTATTATGATTCATTAAACAAAAAAGCAAATGTTTTTGAATTTGGAATTATAGTGTTCCAAATTCAAACCACGTTCGATTTTTAATTTTACTATCAGGATCTCAGTTATCATTTTACTTTTGTTAGTGGCTGACAGTAACTTGTCAACCACTGACAATAACCGTTATTCATCTGTTATACGTATATTTCGACTTCGAAGTTCAGCGGGTGGTGTCTTTGGCTCTTCATTCTGACTGTGACGTGTGAGTAGCCCACACCGCCATCGGTGATGTTGGCGCTGGCATGAGAGAAGTCGTTGTCTACTGCTGCTATGCCCTGGAACAAAAAGTGGAATCTATTAGATTCGATGAAAGGAGGGATTTTTGTTTTAATAATAGCAATAGGTAGTCGCTTAAAAATTATCACAGTGTGTAATTAACGCTCTTTTGGCGTTTTTGATAATGGCACTACTTATAGGAGGTATAACTTATACGATGATGTGAAACCATTCCTATGTGAATGCTATTTTTATTTCTAGACAGAGATACATCGATGATTTGGTGGTATCATTTTTAGTTTCGAATTTTTTTTTAAATTTTGCGCTCTGTATCTTAACATACGATTTTTGCAATATCAATCTAGAGTTAAAAATTTTTAATAATCCAATGTATCCAAATTTTGACACCGAAATCAGAAATGTGGAACACAAATCGAAATTTATTTAACGATTTTGTCGAAACCAGAGCTGATTACATAAGTTGTCAGTTAATTACATCCAATGATTTAATGACCTGACATGACTAGACTATAGATAGATATATTTACGTCATCTTATCATCACATAGAGTTCCTTGTTAGCACTATCTAATGAAGTAAGTTTATTATTGCAAAACATATTTATGTATTTATTCCGAGGTCAATAACATGATGGTTCGTGAATTCGATTTTAATATTGATAACGGTGTCTATTTGCAAAACTAGGAGTCGAACTAGACACACATTAATTAATCGGCAGGCACTTAATATTGAAATCCTTTTTTTGTTTAATTATTATCAGCACTTCTTTTATGTCGAAAAAATATGAGTTGGTGTTTGTTCTGCATTCTTAAAATTGTTTGTTTAGTGTTCGTTTTAAACCTACATAAAATATTGGATGTACTAACTACTCACACAATACATTACATAGTAAGTATATTATTATTATGTATACTGCACATAAATGAACATACATTTATTTGTATACCTACTTATTATGGTTTACACCGAGCACGTCCGTGACTTCGATCACGTGAGCTCACCATTATCATTATATAACTTATTTATTGTATTCTGATATATTTTTGTCTTCTTCAATAGACATTCATTATTTTTTTTGTTTAAAGAGTCACGAACATTTAGCTATCAACCTTCCCAAACTTTGTCTCTTAAAATAATTTCATGAAACCTAGGTAAATCATCAGATATTCATCAAATACTTAGTTAAATAAAGATGTGTAAAATAATAGAATTTAATACTGGGAACAAGAAGCTAGTTAGTGCGTAACAACGTTGATTAAAGAAACTCAAACAGTTGTATAAATAAAGTTATAGTCTTAGGTATCTTAATGAAAAATGATTCATATTAAGCAAATAAGTAATTTACTATCATAATGGCTACAATGCCGATCAGCATCTACTACAAAAATAAATCATGAATAGGTACTTATAAAACCTAAATGTTTAAAAGTAAAAAGGATAATAACACTTTTCAAGGTTAGGTCGAGTGTTTGTTTAGCAGTAATTTATAAGAACCACTTTTGTTTTCCATGAAATGATCAAGAAAATAAGTAAAGGAACCGGTTTTACACATTCTTATCAAAATGTACTCCAACGTAAACTTAACATTGAAGCAGTGCACTTTGCAGGTGGAATGCAAATTTATTTCTTGCTTGTTAAGAATCCACTGCTAAGTATAGACCGGCTGATAAAAGCAAGATTTATTATGGAATTTTTCATATTTATTTGTAGTTATCAATATTTTGAACTGTGACAAAATTTTAAATAAAGATCATCTTGTAATTCGTTAAAAATATATAATTTTGCTATCAGAATTCTATGTGAATTTAAAATATTATCACGAAGTTATAATATCTGAAAGTTATTGTACAAAAGTGTATTTATTCGGCAGTTTTCGAAAAAAAACCTACAGGAAAATTCTAGAAACACTGGAATTACCTTTATAATTCGTTTCTCTGGATCCGTGTAAGTCATCGTTTTAATCCTCTTCTTGAAGGGTATCGCGAAGTCCTTGATCCTCTGATGGAAGACCATCTTCTTGTGCACTGTGTCTCCAACGATCATGTCGTAGCCTGCACACACACACAGACAAGTTAACACTGCCAGCAACACAGCACGCATTTCCAAGCTGAATTCATTTCACATATTGCACAAAACTTGACTCGACCAGCGGAGACCGACGAATGTGGCTCCGAATGACGATAACCTCACGATAACGTCACTAGCAACTTCTCGTTTACACAAACCGACCAAAATGCAATGTTAACGAGCCAAATAGTATCCGCTAATGGTTTTCGCGATTGTAGTTCGAGACAGTCTTCGAAAGGTCGTAATTTGTTTGTTTTCGCGCCTCAATGGGACAATGGGTACACACAAACATTTGTTATCATAACTAAAATCATATTTTGGTTCGTGAACATATTTAGACACCATTTTAAATGCTGATGATAATGTAATGTGGCGTCGTTTTAAAAATAGTATTAAAATGTAAACAGCTAAGGATTGAAATTTGCTGCCTGCTGCTACTGTCTTTCTCGAACACTATAATCCGGGTATTTTCAAGGCGAGAATGAATAGGCACTTACAGGGCAGGAATATACATCCTAGACTGCATTTCACTTAGCATTAGGTGCGATTGCAGTCAAATACCTGCCTTGTTCAGAATAAAAAAAGAGAAAAAAATGAGAGAAGGCCTTTTCGATACTGATATGAAATATTACCAGCGGAAATTAAAATCGGCTTCTGTTTTTGTGCAAACAGAATGATTAATTTGCTCTTCAGTCCCGAGCTGACAAGTGGATTTTCGGAACTTCTCGAAAGAGTTTTTTTTTATTAACTTTAGGGAAGTGTCAGGCGTTGTCAGGTAATCATACAACTTTTATTGGGGTGTATTAAAAAGCGAATTGAATGTCTTACGTATTTTTTTTTTTATACCAAATGTAGAAATAAGTATTTTTCGTGTTTTGGACTAAATAGGTACTTATTAATAAAAAATAAAAATACCTATGCAGGACGCTTAAAATAGGACTTACTGTCAGTTTCTTTTTTAGTTCGTTCTTACATCAATATCCTGGAAAAAAACACTTTTACACATTGTTATGAAATAAGTAGGTAAGTAAATACTTTTATCTAGTTTTAAAACTCATTTAGTGCATTATTGAAATATTTAGATATCCAATTTATATTATTTATCATTCACAGGTTGACACAAGTCATTAGTAATCACGTCACATACTTACATTAATGGTCACGATATGACGTCAAAGTATTTTTTAGGTCTAATTGAAGGTAAACGTGGCACTATATGTCAAATTCCGTTCCAAATACAAATAAATTAATACGCGCCACGTTTCAGCAGGGAAAGGGTTACATCAACGGTTTAATTTGGATTAATCGCTCGTCTATCCGCCTCGACGTTTTAGACCACAGGACAATCGGTTCAGCCAGAACATGTTCATCTAAATTTTCGCGACACGTGTGTGTATCACAACTTTTGTAATCTACAAAGATTGTTGTAATTTTAGAGCGGATAAAAAACCTAAACTTTTAAACTAGTTACTTAACTACTATTAAATCTGTTCTCAGAGAGGAAAAGAAAAATAAATTGTGGCTTAACCGATAGATAGGTAATATGTTTTATTGTCTATGCTTACAAATTAGTAGTCGAAGCATGAAATAAGTAAGATCCAAAATTAATATAAGTAATATGGGCTAGCTGTTTTATTCGTTACCGGTTGTATCCACAGGCGTGTAATTTCCGAATAAAACAAAAGGAAGTCTGTTGTTTCCATAAATCAAGTTAATTTAGAATGTTTGTGAGTGTAAAAGGTTTTTGTTTGTATTATTCAAAGTTGCAACCTTTGATCAACGCTGGGTGATTTTGTTTATGTTACACGTACTGGCTGAAACAAGTTCGAATGTTCAATGTAATTGAGTCTTGTTTGACATTTTGGTTGTCGACGTTCTGTGTTAATCATGGCCATTGGTTTAATTAATGTTTAATTTACTAGTATACATACATATTTCTTCTTACAATGAAAGTAAAGTCGTGCGTGGTGTAATTATAAAATAACTGAAAATTATTAAGCTTAGCATCAACAGTCTCCTCCTCTATCAGCTTAATCACATTACTTGTCTAGGCACTAGTTATCGCTGTACAATCTAACCGTCATTTTAAGTTCTTCTTGTCGTGTCGACAACAAACCTATACAGCGTCGGCCCAAAACTCCGCCACATGAATGGCGTTGTTTTAAGTACTAATAAAACATCACTTTATACTGCTTATAATTTCCGAAATACACGTTTCATTAGGTACATTTTCATTTCAGAATATAACCTATGAGGATATTGTTTATCAATTTGTAAGTTTTTTTTATTTGGATGGTTCTTGACTCATTTGACTATTCTTCTCGATCAACACCTCAAGAGAAGTGGGGATGGCTGAAAACCAGCGCCGTCTAGGGCAAGTAGTCCTCGGCAGCACCAGCTCAGCCACCTCCAGTTGCTTCCAACTTTTTATTATGTTTTCTTTTGTAATTCCTTTTTTGTAAAGCAATAAACGATATTTTTTTTAAATTTTTAGATACTATAGATTTTCCAGCTACTGGCAACACATAAATGACTGACTCGGATTTACTGTAAAACGCCATTTTCCTTGCAAATAGAGGACAATAAATACTGCAAAGATCCAGAACTGTCTCTCACCCAGCGGGATGGTGACGGTAAACCCAAGGGTTAAGCTCGCCTTAGGCCCGAGTAGCTGGATGTATTTTAATGTCCCTCCTTTTTATGGTTCCGTTCGACAAAAACGGAACCATTAGACCACTGTGTCTGATCGTTTATCACAATAACAGAAGATTTTTTCAAACGTATTTTAACCCTGTTTTAATTAATAAATGTTTCTATTCTTGTAGTCCAGACAATCATGAGCTACTCTTAAATACTCGTGTAATCGTAGGTCAGAAATATGGTCAAATATAGATAACTTACTAATATATTCATTTCGACACAAATTGTAAGCTTTCATTGACAAAATATCTTAACATTCTAGTACCTAGCTAAGTCCACAATGGAAAAAAAATCTTTCGAAACATTCAAATATATGAACAAGAATTTAAAAACTAAGTACTTCTTCTATCCACTTCATCAAAGGACGAATCAAAACTTACAAAAGCTGAACGGTACAATCTAAACAATTTGGCAACAACTAAGAAGGCAAGTATCAGAGACAGGCGGGTAAATCCGGAGTAAATCAGACAATCCGGGTATTCCCGGGTAACCCGCCCCTACTGTAAATAAGGGGTGAATAAGTAAATGTACCCAGATCGAACGATTTTTCCATAGTCGATCTGATATGTTTGCTCGAAGGGATAAATATACTGAAAATGTTTTTGCTCTTTCAATAATTTTGTATTTTGACGCCCGTATTCAGAGACGATGCTTGCTTAAGAGAATCAGAAAATCGAACGCACAGCATTGAATGAAGCTCTGTGATTGGTTCGTGTGTCACCCTGTGTGTCCACGCACACTGTGAGACCTCATAGTAATGCTTGTGAATACGGGCGTAAGATACCCTAAATTGATGTCTCCTTAAAGATGTCGACATTGACCTACTAGATCTCATACAATAATAAAAGTAAATGGGCGATAAGTCCATATTTTATCACTCAAGATTTATTTTACACGGAGAAGGTTTATTTTTTGACGAATCATACATTATTAAATTTAGTGGTGTGTGTTTTCATTCTTTGGCCAATTTTGGAATGTTACTTTTTGATAACGTCTTTATGACGTCATAGACCTACCTATTATCATAACTAGCACCTCGCCTTTGCGTAATTATATTACATTAATGATGATCGGCAAGAATAAAGGACACATTTTATAAATATTTACTCGACAGGTATTGTGAAAATCAAATGCGTAAATTAAATTATGCTAATAGTATTTTTGCAATACCGAAATTAACTAATGGGGTGATAGCAATAGTCTTATCATGGAGGTCACCATACTGATAACTTGTTTATGATTTATTTCTTGCGTAAGGTCAAATGAATTTATGGAAATCCATAGTTTTGCAAGCTAAGAAACGCAAAATTGCACGCAATTTATTGAGGTTTTTTTTATAATGATTTAGGAGTTCTTATAAAACTAACAGAATCAAACATAGTACTATAATGATATTAGACACTTCATAGTAAGTTACACTAACACCATTTTACTGTTTTGTTTGTATTAAGTACACCTACAATAGCGATCAAATATTGTAGGTAGGTATTTTGAGGAGAACGAACGATTCATATCGACTGTAAATTAATTTTGATTTTTTAATTGAGAGCAGAGAGTTGATTTTTCAGTTTGTTTTCAGACACGCGGTAGCGTATCGAGCAAAGTCCAAGTAACAGAACTGACGAAACATATTATAGTATTTGTTCAATAATATCCCTTTAAAGTCAATTTGACCTTACGTCTGCTCCAATTTCACCTCCATGCACAAAGGTCTGATTTTTGTTAGTATAATGCTATTCCTCTAAGCTTTACAATCCCATGTGTACCCTACTTATTGAATCAGTTGATCCCTCAAATGTAATTGAAAGAGAAGCTTGTTGGATAGTGTATAATGGCGTTCCTATAAGGTATACCTCAATAGTTAACACCTTAAGACTTTTACAGGTCAAAATAATATCCATTTATAGTCGTCTTAGATCTGCTATGTTAGGGACTAGATCCTAATCCTAATCGTTTGCCTCCTGTCACATAAAAAAACCATCACTATGTAGTGATGGCTAGAATAATTTCGTTGTTTATTTTGTTAACATGGGTATTAAACGTTACTTTTAATCGGTGTGTCAGAACTCAGAAATAAATTGAGAATCGTTAGGTCCCGATTTATTTAAGTGATAAAAAAGGAATAAGTTTTGTCTCATAGAACGATTAAAGTCCCTAATAAAACGAATAAAGATATTATAGAAATGATCAAGCGCGAAATGTGCGCAGCCTCCAATCCTCCATAGACATCTCGAACTAATGGATCCAAATCTCCCTGGATCTTCTAATGATATTCACCTCCTGGAAAATCGCTTCCTTGATCCATCCATACACTCACGTTCGCCGAAATTTTGCGATTGCAGAGGGCGTTGCCATAGCAACCAGACGGAGGCTCATGTGGCCTGCAAACTTTAAATTGTATTACCAGAGGCAAATATCCTTACAGCCCTCTGTAGGCTCTATCAATCTTTCATA